GTTGAAGGCTCCTGCATCTCACCAAGCAGCTGGTCTGCAGTGCCCGGCGTAGCGGGAAGGTGCCTTTGCCCTCGGCTTTGCACAGTGAGTACAGAGCAATTCGCTGAAGAATCAGCGACAAACAATATTCTTGTACCCGCTTCTAATGCAGGAAGCTATTTCTGGATGTGCTGGGTTTTTGAAATGGGTGCCTTAGTCTCTAAGACTGAAGAGACAGGCTCAGCTCAGGAAGGAAGCGGTGAAGTTGTGCCTTATGTGTCTGCTCAGGGCTTCGCCTTCTCTTTCTCTGACCTCGTTGTTTTGCTTTGGAAGGCACACCTTTCAAAAGGACTTGAGATAAGCTATATCAGCTGCAACGCTCAGTAGGTGTTTATTCAACACCTGTTGATGAATTAAGGCTGCTGAACATTTAGTCAAGTAGATAGTTTATATTTCAATACAATTTCCACACATTGAAGGAAATGTCAGCAGCCTTCCCCAGTCACCCAAAGACTAGTCTAATTTGAAGTAAGTTCTTAGTCACAACCACAGTCTTTTTCTTCTTTTTTGAGCATCGTTGTGGAAGAAGGATGCAACCAAGGCTGCTATATAGACAGAAGATCTCTCCCCAGTGAAAATGTTACATCCACTGTATGTGAAATGGCACAATTAAGCCACACTGGCTACAGGCCTGAGTTTGGGTAGCAGATACAAGTAATCAAGGCAAGACATAAACTGAAGCAAGGTTCTCGGTGTGTTCTGAGTGAGGGCCTTTTAGCAGGGCTTATGCTACTCAGTTAACTCTTAAACTGTTTTAAACTGTCCACTCTTCCCTCCTGCTTCCCCATAAAAAGGGTGAATGACAATTTCCAGTGTTTCCAAGCTACTCAAGATGTGAAATTGGCCATTAGCTGCTGAAGGTTCCTTGGACACCTGAAAAATCTTCTGAGATGCAGAATCTCCGCTTAGAGTCCTTTTGTTTTAATTTGCTTTTGTTTTAATTTTATTTTGTTGGTCAGGGTTGAGTAATAGAAGTTGATGTGGGTAAGTGGGGAAAATAATCTTACAAGTTGGTGGGTTTTCAGACAGATGGACTAAAAGCTTACATTTTAGCAGGTCTAAGAGAACACGTGCTCAGTGCTTAAATAATAAAAAGGGCAAATTGAATATTAGATTTTTTTTTTTTTAAGGAAAAGGATGGGAAAGGAACTGGTCGACAATCCATCCCTGTGGCACTGCACAAATTCACAGGGTGCACATGTTTGCAATGGCCAAGCTTCAGAGCTGGTGACAGTTGGATCCTTATCACATCCAGCATCTGATCTTTAAAAGGTTTCTCCTTTCCCTATCCCTCCCGTTCCCACAGCATCTGCTGTAAAGCTGTGGTTCTTGTGTAATTCTTTCGTGTAATCTACATAAACGTCAGAGTTCTTTGCTATAGAGTTGTAGATAGTTTGCATTTGTGTAATGTTCCTAGATAAGACAAGCAATCCTGCCCTGCAGGACAGGGATTTCTTCCAATTCCTCAAATTTAACAAGATGCCGCAGAGAATTCTTCTTCTTTTAGCTTTATTTATACACCCATTAATAAGCTGAGAATGTTCTATAATATGCTGTCCTTAAAATTTTAATTTCTGGAAAAACTTAGTGTACACTGATTGCTGGGAAAACTGTTGTGCTACTGAGTGTTGTGGCTGAGCGAGTAGGTTTGCTTTTAAAAACAAGAATAACAAAGTCAACTAGGACATTCACTAATCCATAACCATTGTTAGAGGATTTGAGGAAACCTGGTGGCAGCTTGCTGAAAGTTACAGTTTTTGCAGGTGTGCAAAATGCACTTTAGTTATAATCCTCACAGATCTGTGGTGTGAAGTTGAATTATCATTTAATGTGTCTTAAGGAGCAGTGTTGTTGTCACTTCATGTTGAGAGGTGATGTTTTCCCATTTTTTGGTGCTGTGACAAGCTGTTGGCTCGGACTCCGAGGTATTTCTTGGTAGTTAATGGAATTTTCTGCACATCTTCTGTGGAACATCCTTTCCGTAGGATAATATGTGACTTGGGAGAGTGCTGTGCTAAACTTGTCCTGTGAAAAAGGTGTCAAATGGGGTTGCTGTAGACCTGAGAGTGCAGTTATGGCTTAGGAGGACCTTATCAAGTCCCCAGGCCTGCCCATAATCAAAGCTCTGGGTTATTTCAGTTTATCTAAAAATCTTGTGTTCATTCCCCCTCGGTGTTACGCAGCTTACTGCAGCCTAAACGTCACTGTAGGTACCTTGCATTTGATGCTGTGTTTGAAGCTTGGGGATGTTGCTTTCTTTGAATAAACCCCAAATATTTGTCTGTGCCATTAGATAATTTGAATAGTACTTAAAATGCTTAGCTAAAGGGTAAACTAAAAACGCCAGTCTTACAGTCATGATGTCAAACGATCAGTTTTGTATGCAATATCTGAAAGGGGTGTTTGAAGTTGGCTTGTTTTGGCTTGAGCAATCCATAGATGCGTCTTGCTGTAGCGTGTGATGGAGATTAAATGTACGATGAAAGCCTGCTACTATAAATAGAAAGAACACTCTGTCCGCTTCCTTTTCTTCTAGATGCTGGGGTGTTTTGTTTTGTTTTTTCCTTCCCAAAATTTTGCATTCCTTCTTCTGAAACTTCACACAGCGTCTTCTGGTCTGTTTTTTTTCCTAATCAAAGATCATCCCTTAAAAATACCAAACCCATCCTGGTTTTTAGAATTTCCAGGTTTACATCTGTTGCTGATTTGGGAGTGCTAACAGATTTAAGGCTTCTTCGTCGTTGTTTGGATGGGGGTTTTTGTTTAATTGAGTGCTTGTTCTTTGGTTTTGTGTGTTTTTCCTTTTTTCTCTCTGAGTACTCATATTTCAGGGCTTTTTGCTTGTTGCCATTTATTTGTTTTCTTAGGGAATATGGAAAACAAAAACAAAGTGTTGACTTTTGAGAGTTAGCTGAACTCATGAGAAATTTTGGGAGAGAGGATGAAAAGAGAGAGTAGATCCTCTGCTGAATTTGAAGCACATGACAAGAAGTGGAGAGGTGTTGTATATTCTGAAAAAAAATGCATTTTTTTCATTTAAAAAAGGCTAAAATCTGTGTTTGGGCAATGCTGTTGTCTGTGTTTGTCTCCTGATTTTTTTTTTTTTTAATTTGAATCGACACAGATGCTTCAATCCTGTGTGCATGAAGATCCTTGTTGGCCGCTGTCCTCGTGACCTGAGTAGTGTCATGTGGTGACCTGACTTGTCCAGATACATGGGGGATGTCTCCCAAGAGCCAGAGCCTTGGGACAAGGGTCATTTCCGAGGCTAACTAAGGGAGTTCTCCTCTGAATCCTCCTTCAGAGGCTCTTTTAGGGCTTGATTAACCTGTGTGTTGAGTTACACAGTTGAGTAGTTGAGTTAAAGCTGGTAACTTTCTGGAGATATCAGTCTCCTGGAAGCCAGCTGTGGCTTCCTCTCTGTGGAAGAATGTCTTGGAAATCATAAAATTTCTGGGAACTACTTATGGTGCATTGCTTTGTTCTTCCCTTTTGGCCTCTGAGCCAGCTTAGTGAAGGGGAATATTGCAATTTGACCAAGTTTGGAAGCTACTGAGATTGCCTTCCTTGGCCCTATAATGATGTTCTTGGTGGAGGCCTCTCTGTATCTGGAGTACGTTGCTTTTGGGGCTTATTTTCTTCACTTATAAAGGTTTGTCTCCATGTAGAAGTCGCTCTCTTTGGCCAAGGCAAGTTCAGTAGGGCTTTGGGTTCTGCTTGTAAAATAACCTCTTAAACCTCACATAATCTCTAATGTGTACACACATCTAGCCAGATGTGCTGTCGGTGTTGGGGAGCACGTGCTTAAATCCACTATGAAGGTGAAAGAAAGCCTGAAAACCCAAACGTTGTGGGGAGCTCAGGGTTGGTCGGGTTGCGTCTCTTAACATCCACGCTGTGCCACCGAAATGGAAAGGTTGCATTGTGCAGGCTGACAGAGAAACAAAGCGGAATTTTAATCCCTATTTTGCTGTGAGAGAAGTGGTATGAAGTGACAAGTCAATGAGGCAGGAAAGAGGGGTGATGTTTTCCACTTTTGGTGGCACTAGCACATGCCACCAGTAGCAGCAGCATAAATACAGCTCATGGGTTGCCAATGGGAAGTTTGAAGTCATTTGTTTTTTCCAGTTGCTCATGAAACTTGGGAATCTGAAAAGCAGAGACGTGTGAACGTTTCCTGTGTACGGTTACAGTTGCTAATCACAAATAAATTTTCAGCCACAAACACTTGGAATGGTCTGTGTTTTCACATGAGATATGGAGATGCCTGAAAATACGTATTTAGTTCTTCCAAGGCGTGACGAGCACCTAATTATTTCCTAATTAATGCTGGGCAGTAGGGATGCAATAGCCCTGTTTTCTTTGCTCAGTGCAACGTCATGTAAATTGATCGTAAGTTAATGGAAAATACTACTCTTGTGAGAAGTTACTGTCAAAGACTGTCTTGCTTTAAGGTCTTTTGTAAAGCTTGCATGGGATTCTTACCTATTTTCCTGACCCCCAAAATAATTAAGCACTCTTGAGTTCCAATACTGATGCTAACCAATGTCCTGCAGTTTTGTCTGCTTTTCCTCCGATTCCTGTCACATTTAGTAGTTCGTAGGAAAACTCATTTTCAAGTGTGTGCACTTATTTGGCTATACCAAAGACCTATTTCTGACTGTAGACAGTTGCTGTAAAATCTCTTCTGAATGTTCAGATCTCATTTGGTGTTTCTGGAGAAGGGGGAAAGGTCTTGCTGCAGGTAACCCAGAAACTTTCCAACTTTCCTATCAATAACATTTTATTAATTGGACTTCTAGCAGTTCTCCCACTATAAGATGTGTGACAGCCGCGTACATATTCAAAACTAAGAGAGCTAATGTGACTAAAAGTTGTGTTCCTGACTGCTTTTGGCTCTGTGTGGCTCCTCAGTCTTCAGCAAGAGTGACGCCTGCTAACATTTCTTCTCTGTTCCACAGTTTGCAACTTCATGTCTCATGAAAAGTGCCTCAAGAATGTGAAGATACCGTGCTCATGTATTGCTCCGAGCCTTGTAAGGGTGAGTAAGCACAAGCTGTCATGTCTCTGCCTTGAAATAATGCCACAAATTTGTCACTAACAACCACCATGTATTAACATAGTGGCTTGTTAATGTATTACTGTTTAAGTCAATATGTTACTCATCACTGATTTTTTTTTAACGATAGAAAGAAGTTTTAATCCTTACGTTTCCTTTCGAGCTTGCCTACAAATGGGTGGCTGTAGACAGGCTGTCTGAAAAATGGTTATTTGCATTGTTTAAATATTACTCTTTTTTTTTAACATGTGTGTCATTACCTGGATGACTTGCTGTAATGGAATGTGGTGACTGAGTGGTACAAAGTGCACTCAGACAATCCTGTAGTGCACCATACTAAAGAAGGTCTTTGTACTCCATTGATTTTTTTTTTTTTTTACAACAGTTGCAGTTAAAGGTTTTCTGTCTACAGAAGGAGCAGTTTCGTTTCTGTTGACTGCTATGCCTTAAGGATTTGCTTATGCACACACTTTGAATTGCAGTTATTATGCCCAGGAGAATAAAACCCGTGCAGGAAAAACCTTGAATTTTGAAAGCAGAAAGAGAAGGCAGGTCTCCAATTGATGGAAATGTTTGGAAACTTGTCTGTTTAGGTTACTGGTGACGTACTTGTTTTTCACAGGCCCCCTGATTCTTTCCCCTGCCTGACTTCAAGCTTAGGAGCTTGTTTTAAGAGAGTGTGAAAGATGAATCAACTTTGGTAAAAGATAATGTGGTATAACCACAATATTAAAGAAGCTAAGTTAAGAGGAAGGAGAGCATGGGGAGGGGGTAGAGATTTTCTAATAGCCATTAAAGCAATACATATATCTTAAGGAGCTGGGCAGAAGTCAAATGAGATATTGTTGTAAAATCAGCATGAATAAGTCATGAGCTGTCCTGACATCGCTGACTAATAGTCTGTTTATGAGATGTTCATTGTGTGGATCTGGAAACCTCAGGACAGGAGCTGCGTTCCCTTCTTTAACCCACATAGCTTCTCAGGTCCTTCTATGACTAGGAAACATGGGAGGGGAGGGATCGAAAACAAAATTTAGCTGATAACATAAAGAGAGAAGTAACCAAGTTGCTGCCAGTGGGTTAGGAATCAATTACTTGATTTGGGGGTAGGAAAACGTTACAGTAGAATAATGGCAAGTGGACAGAGACACAGATTTATTACACACTTCCCCCTTCCCCTGCCACACACACCCCCACACAAATTTTAATCTTCAGAAGTATTAATTTGTATTGGCAGAAGGGTATCTGATATGTGGAGAGTTGCCAGCGGATTAAAAGATACTGCTGTGGGGCTAAAACCCCAAATAGATGGGCATGGAGATGCTGAGAAATGCCATTATTAAGAACTAACATGTGTTGCAGGTCCCAGGCACTGGCAGTCAGTTGCAGCGTGGGAGAGGAAGGATGAGTGAGGCGACACAGGTGCTTTTAGAAGGACCATTTAGAGGCACAGTACCAATCCAGCTGAGAAACATTTGCTTTGATTCAGAGAGAAGGGTCAGGGGATTGGACATTAGTGACTGCTCTTTTTTTTTGTGTTTGTGTGAATTTATCTTTTTTAATTTTTTGTTCAAAATACCCACTGTTGCTTTTCACATGTGTTAGATGCAGCAGTGTCACCATGTGTTAATGCTTTCTCTTTCTTCAGTCAAGAGTGTTAGCCTAGCTCATTCTTTTGACAATCCGTGTTCTCCCCTCACCCCAGCACAAACACTCTATCCAATTATTTATTCTTCAAGCCTAAAATGTGCATATTCCTGCTGTACAGGGGAATTTGTCTTATCTCTGTTCTGTCCTCTTCCCTTAAAGCTGTCCGCGATTTAGCGTTGCTCTTTTTAGCAGCAAAGTATCTTCTGCTTTTTCCATGCTGAACTGCAGTGATTACGTTTCAAAATATTAGATGGTGCCATTTCTTTTGGAGAGTCTTTTCTTCCTTGACGCAATCGTCCAAGCTGCGTTAATCCTGGTGTCCTGTGCGAGTGAAGTCTGACATATGGGAGACATTGTTTTGTGTGAAAGCGCTGTCAAGTAAATATAAAACTTGGCACTTGTTTAAAAAACATAATAGAGCAAAGACGAATGATGATAGTTTATAGACTGTGTGGAAAGTTTTCTTTTTTATTTTTTTCCTCTTGTATTATCCCTGCTTTCCCTTTGGAGTATTTGGAAATGTCTCCGTATGAAAATATCTGATCTAGGAAGGTTCCCAGCATGGCTTTTTTCTGATAATTTTTCCTAACATGTTCGTACTCGGGATATAACAGAAAATAGCTTTTTTTTTTCTCCTTTCTTTTTTTAATCCCCTGGATTTCTTCTAGAGAAGATAGCAATTCCTAAAGCTCATGAGAGTGTGTCACTTGATACTGAGTCAGGCTGTCAGAGAATAATTTTTCAGAAGATATTTCGTGGAAACTTTCATTCCTGGGAGCGAGATTTCATTTCCTGGGTCAAGTAAAAGCTCCAGAGTTTTCCAGCATCCCAGCTCCCAAGCATGGCATGCGTGGCTGCATCAGTCTCACATCCATTTCTGATGGGCCTTGAGAATTTTGTGTAGTCACTGATCACTCACCTGTGCTTACTATTTTGGATTGAATCTCTTTCATGAAGTTTCAGAAGCCACATTTCATGGTAAGTCGTACAGGCAAGCTGGTGTTCCTGTGACCTGCAGGAGAGGTGATTTGTTCCACCCATCACGTCTCCACAGCTATGCCAGATTCAAACCTTTTCTGTTTTTCCCCAAGTATTTGTCAACTCATAGATGTATGTGAGTAGCAGGCTTTACGTTACAATGAAAGCAAAGCCTCCTTGACTGACTGTGGTGATTGTGAAATAGTGTTTTGGTTATTACTACCTCTTTGCTGGGCAGGCTTGAATTTGTCTTGTACGATTTTCTGCTCTTTACGTGTGCCATATGCACGTGCATTTTCCATATAGCTTTCCTTTCAAAACCAAGCAGGCACAGGAGTAAACAGCAGCAGTTTTCTTTAGTGAAGTTATACATCTGTAATGCTGTTTTCTTTCTTTTTCTCTTAGGTGGTGGTTGTGTTTGTGTATTAGCGCAGTTGTTTTTCACTGGGTGAGCTGGGTGAGCTGTCGATAGACTGTTCACAACACTTCCTTATGTGCTTTTGTTCTTGCAGGCAGGACGTCTGGAGCAGACAATTGCTGCTTTAGGTCGCCACTTTCTCTTCAAGGTCGCTGTGCTAAAAATACAGACTTTGAAGTTTAGAGTTGGGGTGGCCGCTGCCTTCCAGGCAGTGATACAGACAAAAGATTTTGCTGCTTGCAGGAGCCTCTGCTAGTAAGGTCCTGTTTGCTGAGCTGAGTCTCTCCCTCCGGATGCTGGATCCGGCTGTGCTCACTTGGTTGTTTGGTTTGGTCACTGTGTTTCTCAAACCGATGGAAAGCTGGAAATGGGAAAGAGGAAAGGAGGACACACAGGTTAGGGTGACCTGTCCCTCACAGCACTTCAGTACTCTGTTCAGGATTCGGTGCTGTGTACTTAACAGATACAGAACAGCAGCATCTGACATGGACAGACAGAGAGCACTGCTCCTCTTTTTCTGCTTTCCCTCTCTTTTTCCCCCAAGAGACGCCCAACACAGTGGATAACAAAGTGGAAAAGTTTGGCCTTTGTGTCACTTGCTGCCGCAGTCTTGTTCAGTTCTTTGAAATGGCTGATTTTTAGGGGTTGCAGTTGCTTCCTAGATTAGCTTTTAAGGAATTTTTTTTCAAATGGTTTATAGACATTTTAAGACATGGAGAAGAGCCTAGAGAGATGGGAATTCCAAGCTGATGTGATTGAATTGAATGGTTGTTTTGGAGACTAGATGAGAAGGAAAAAACAGCATCCAGTTTTGGGAAATCGTTCCTTGGCAGGCACTGGCAGTGAACCCCTGGGATCCAATTTGTCTCCAGTGGTGTTTACATCTTCTTTAGCAGCCCCAGTGATGGGAGCAGATGCACTCTCAGCACGTCCGCAGACCGTGCAGACCTGGAAGCAGCGGCTGATGCACCAGGTGGCTGTGTTGCCACTCGGAGGGACCTCCGGAGGCTGGAGAAAAGGGCTGGCATCTCATGAAGCCCAAGCAAGGGATGTGCCAAGTCCTGCACCAGGGAAGGAGCAGCCCCAGGCACCAACTGGAGTGACCTGCTGGAGGGCAGCTCTGCAGGGAAGGCCCTGGGCTCCTGGTGGACACCAAGCTGACCATGAGGCAGCAACGGGCCCTTGTGGCCAAGGAGACCAGTGGTGTCCTGGTCTGCATGAGGAAGAGGTTACCAACCACTGCGCGGTTCTGTGGCAGGGACTTGCAGGTGCTGCACGTTTTATTCCAATCTGGGGGACAAATGCTTCGGTTAGAAATGACAAATTACTTTAATGTGCTTCTTTTGGCAGGCTTTCGTAGAAAACAGGCCAAAATGCAAATATTTTAAATGAGCAGTTGGACATGCCTTCGTTATCTCCCATGTCGTAGATATTTTCTGTTCGGTGTTTGACGTGTATCAGCAGACTTCTTGTCCTGACCATGTTTTAGATACTAACATTTTTGTGGGTGGGAGGCAGAAATTATATCTGTAATACAAACTGGGTGGCATGAAATATATGCATAACATTATTCCTCTTTTTGACATACAGATGTTTTTGCAGAAGTTATTCTTCTCGTCTCTTTTTCTTTCTCTCATCTTCCCCTTTTACTTGACTGTGATAGAGGATGCTTCTGTATGAGTGTAGTGTGTGTGTGTGTGTGTATTTTGATTTATTTTGTCTTTGTTTTTTCAGGATGTTGTGGAAATGTTTGGATTTTGAACTGATCTGATTTTACCTTCAAATTTGCTCGATGTCCCTAACCACCTTCACCAAGGATGCTTTGTCTTTAGCTCTTCAGTAATTGACTCATAGATCTGTGAGCTGTGATGTTTCAACAAGGCAACAGCCCAGAGCCTAAAAGCCTTGTGTTTATAATTTAAAAACCCTGTAATGTGTTAAACCGATGGCCTGTAAGCTCTTCTCTACTACAAGTTTTCCCCTGTTTTCTGCCCAAAGAAGCAGCCAGCTATTGAAGTAAAAGAGAAGGATTCCTAAGCTCAAGAGCACCCTGCCTTGCTGTAAATTTGACACAAGTTGCAGACTCCCAGCCTGGCCCTTTAGCTCCACCTGTGACTTGGCAAGTTCAGAAATAGTGTGGAATTCCATCAAGGATTTTATCAAGCGAGTTTCTTCTAATGCTTTATCTTGATAGTAGGAGATGAGCATTGACTTCCTCTAGAATAATAAAAGGAAGGAGTGTTTCCGTCTCTTGCATGTCAGCCTCTGTTTGGAAGACTAAAAAAAAGTGCTAGAACAAGCAGCTTGTAATTACAGGGGAAGGCTCCTACTCAGATTTCCTGATAGAATTTCCTGATTTGAAACGATGTGAAACGGTTATCTGGTTTCCATTACAGAGGATCATAGAGATCTTGCTAGCGTGTATCTAGATATGGCTCAATACCCTGTCTGAGATCTATGGCATGGAGAAGAAAAATCCTTGCATATGGGTGTGTGCATTATTCCCTTACGTTAGCCCCAATGTTGATTACTCATTCTAAATATTTACCTTCTTTCTTCCTGTGCTATGATATGGTGGCATTTAACATAATGTTCTTGCTTGCTTTCAAAGTTTCCGTATGGATTTTCTGCCTTTTAGCACCAGTAACAAGTGCTTGGAGAGAGAAATTCATTTTGAGTGTGAGTAAGAAGCATTTGTCAGGATTTAACCCTCATATGACAAAGTGGAAATTCGATGCAAAGTCCAGCATATTCAAGGATTAGGGAATTTTCAGTATTAGAAGCAGGTAAACTTCCAACTAAGAAATAGGATTTTAGAGTTACTGAGCAATAAGTGAGTAATTGAGGAAGATGTCTGTGCTTTGGAAAGTTGAATTGCTTCCAGTTTTTAGCTTCCCTCAGACAGGTATGGCCTAGACATATGGTCTAGACTTAATTACCTGGATGTAACAATCATGGGATGTGTTCACATTTCATCACTCAGAGTACACCTGGAGAAGAGAGGCCTATGTCATCAGAACAAGATTAGGAATGTCAAATAATGAAACATTTTGCACTTAAAACATCAGAAAGCATAGGCGTTCTTATTTCAGAAATGCATGCTAAATTTTACTTTTATTGGCATTTTTTAAAATTATTTTTTGCCTTTAATTGAAGGCAGTCTTTGTGAAAGACCCCATGCAACCACCTTGTTGAGCTTTTGTGAGGGCATTGACAGCAAGTTGGGCAGATCCCTAAAATGCCACAGTTTTGCTGAACGGAAACCAGTGGCCTCCAGGTAAATTCCCCCTGCTGAACCTTTGCAGGGTGTCGTGAGGGTGTTTGCATGATTATTTCCGTGTCCTTTGCCACCTGAAGCCCGTCAGCCAGGTGCTACCATAGCCCAGAAGCTAGAGCTCTGTGGTGAGTTTTACAAAATTCCCCCACATGTACAAATCCTTACGATGGCAGAGGAGATACATTGCGAAAAGCAACATTTGGACACAGGTCTGGGTTAAGTTCATAGGAGGTTTTTGTTTTTTTATTTCAGATACGCCAAAACAGCAGCTATTGCGCTCTTTTTTGGTCTGACTTTATTTCTGTCATTCCTGCTTCAGTCCTTGATAAGGATTTGGGGTAAAAACACAATTTAACCTGACTTTCTCCATGAACGAGGCGGCTTGGGTGAGAGCTGGGCTGTTCTGTACATAGCCTTTACATTTTGGGGGAAAATACCCGCCAATGCTTAAATACTTCAAGTACTTAAAAACACTTAAAATAGTGGTTCTGTCCTTCTGCCTACGTGTGTGCTATCCTGCAGCATTGCAGTATAAGCAGCAATGTACAAAGGCCCTGCAGAAAGAAAGGCCATTCCTTTTCATTTTTCTCTCAAAAATAGTGTGCCTTTGTGTCAACTGTCACCACAGCTCTGTGGTGGTGGTAAGTGAAAGCTAAAGAAAAGCTCATTGCTTGAGATGCATTTGTTGCTGCATTTCTGTATGATAAAATCACATAGTGTCTTTTACAGTTACATGGGCTTGTAGGCACTGAGTTTGTCTTCCATAGGATGTGATTTTATTGCAAATGGATAGGAATTTACACGGGAATGTGCAGAATTCCTGCAGCCGAGCAGCGGACTGGGAGTGCCCTGTGCACCAATGCAAGGTCGTTGTGGAGCACGTGCTGGAGCGTTACCATTATCCTTTATCGACAGACATTTGAGCAGTGCTGTAAGGACACTTGGATGTCATTTAACAGTATTGCCAACAGAAACTTGCAGCATCTTTCTGTGGATATCGATTTTAGTGGTTTTACATAAAGCAATTTAAGTAGTTCTACGGGAAAAGTAGATTTTAAACTTGCATCAATTATTAATTTTTGCTCCCTATAGACCACCCAGTGTGTCTGTAGCTAGCTGTATTTATACTGATGCCTATCTATTATTCTTTAAGTGGTGTCCTTTCCGAGTCTGAAATGGTTTCTGCCTTGGTTTTCCCAGTCTAAGAGTCTAGAGGTTTTATATTATGTAAGTATAAATCATATGTAGCTCTATGTATACATATATATGTAGGAAGAACTTGTTCAAGGCGGGAGGGAAAACGGAGGCAGCTGCTGTAAGAAAGTGTGTGGTTGATATCTCATGCAGCATGAGCTGATTGATGCTCCTCTTTTGCACTGGAGCAAAGAGCAAAGAGGAAAATGCTGCTTTTCAATGCCAGGTATAAGATAAAGCGGCCAGATTCAAGGCAGGACTTCTCTGAATTATAAGCGGTGGTTGTTGAGGGGATGGCGAGTTCATGATGGGTGTTGAGAGCAGGTTATCCAGGCAGCTGGGGAAGGTCTCTGCTTTGAATTACCCCAAAATAGGGTTGTTTTGAGTGACGCTGTCCCCGTGTCGCCGTGGGACGGACTCGGTGCTGACGTGGCTTGAAGGGGCGCTCGGAACTTGCAGGCTCTGGCTCCTCCATCCAAAGCAGCCAATCCAGGTACCTTGTGTGTTACTGTGGAGGTTTTCCTGGGAAAGGGGAGCACTTCCCTTGAAGAAATAGCACCAGGATGCAAACAAGACTGAGTATCGTCAGCCTTGGTCAGAATCTATAGTCGTATCAGAATCTATAAGTTGAAGTTACCGCATGTTGTGCAGAAGCATTTTTCGTTATTATTAATTATTTCATTTCCCAAACTGGTCCAAAAAGACACAGTCCTCTCTAGATTGCTTAGGGTGGGCATAGACCACACCCCCCTTCTTTTTCCTTTCCCTTCTCCAGAGTTAATTCCAAGGTGGATGGGAGGCACCATGTGCTACACAGTGTTGGAGACAGTGGTTTTGATTCAACTTGCAGTGGTCTCTTCCGCTCATGCCACAACCTTTTCTTGCTTATTTCGCTGTGCATGCTTCAAGCATGGAGTTCTTTCTAGCAGAATTGTGCCTGCATATGCAGAGGCAAAAACGCTGGTAGGAATTAGACCCTTACCTTTATGTCTGCGAGTGACTTTCTACGTCATGAAGTGCTGTGTTCCCAGTACATCTTAGGTCTGATGCTATTATGTCACAGCAACACCCTGATATATAAGGGGGAAAAAAAAAAAAACCTCAAATCCTACTCAGTAACTTTGGGAAATTATCTGCTAGAGCATCTGGAAGGAAAAGCGAGTGTCTGCGCTGCACATCTGAAGTAATTATTTCCATTTTAAAGGAAACTACTAATTTCACTTCACGCATAAATAACCGTTCGTCACCTTTCATTAGAAATATGTCATAATGTTTCGTGCTGCAAGAACTGCAAGATAAATCCGGTATTTTTGTCAGAAGGAATGTGTGAGCTGCTAAGGTCAAGATGTCAGGGGTATACATCATTTTCTGTTTTAAAAAAATAAGTTAAATCACGGTACCTTTTTCTGAAAGTAATTTGCATTTTAGAGTTTTAAAGATGCAGCTATGCATCGTCTAGTATAAATGTCCCTTTCATAAGGGTGTGCTTTGTAGGAAGAATAGTCTCCAAAACAAGTATAAAACTGAACTTTGTTTCTTATTTGTCATTTTCAATCTTTTTGTTCCATTTTTCTTTTCTGCCTTTGCCTAAAAAAGGTACCATTACTTCTTAATAATCAATAATCCTGGGGAACCCCCCCATCTTTTGAGGTGGCTTTAGAGTATGTTCTGTGATGCATAGATAAAACCCCTGGTATAGATCTTAGCAAAGAGATCTTCCAGTGCATCCTCCTTCCCCCTACTGTCACTTGCAGCACTTTGATGTACTTTGGAGCTAGGTTTCAGCACCAGCTCTGAAATTTGGGTTTTAGACCATTGCTTTTGTTGGTCAACCCCTTGGCTGGGCTGTGAAAACGCGTGAGAAGAGAAGGCAAAATGCATATGGAGGGTGGTGGATTGGGTCAGTCTGAGCTTCTGAGAATTAATCTTGAGCTTATCCTCAGGGTGTTTTGTCTCTGCTTGCCCTTATGTAGCTATTGATTTTTTTAATACACCTTGCTTTGACTAAGAACTCTTGGGGACAGGAGCTGTGATTTAAAGATCTGGATGGAGCCCAAAGGAACCAGATCCAGAATCATGACACAAGGAATTATCAAGAAGCTGACTAGACTTAAAATATATACACTTTGATTAAAGATATATTTTTAAAGCATTTTAAATATTTAAATATATCTTAAATATGTACTTCAAAACATGATTTTTCTCATTATTTTCTGTTTTTTCCCTTACAGATTAACTTGGATGTATCCTTTCCCTCAAGCTTACTTACATCCACACTATGTGTAGTATACTGCCTTGCATGATGAGGCTGTCTATATGGGTAGTAAGTAATTGCCATTATGAAGGTTGTGACTTACGATACATCATGTGTTCTTCATTGGCAGGTTCCAGTTGCACACTGTTTTGGGCCTCCAGGACATTATAAAAGAAAGTTTTGCACTGTGTGCAGAAAGTCACTAGATTCGCCTGCCTTTCGATGTGAAGGTAACTTACTACCCACTTGCAGAGCTGTCTGTTTCCCAGCAATATGTACACAATAATATACACTTTGCTTATATATATATGTACACACATGCAAGAGGTGGAATGAATTCTAATGGAAAGGTTGTCTGTGTCTTTATTGCATTTGTGGGAATTCTTTGTTTATCATGCACTAACTGACCGTGGAAAAGCATACCTGAAATTAAGGAAGCTAATGTCAAACACACACACTGTTTTTTATGCTTCCTCCAGTTTGCTTTGAGGGAGGCTGTGGTTTTGGTGGTGTGCTGTGAGCCTGGGCACGAAGGATGAGATGCTATTACTGCAAAATAAAGACTTCTTCTAGTGGAGTGATTTATTTCAGTTTTCCACTGGAAGCCTTGGCTACAGGGGACTGTCTGATATTCATGTTTCTAAAACCTCCCCCTTCTTGCAAACGGATAGAATATAATTTTCTCCGTGTTGGCAGTCTCAAAAATTCATCCCTTGCCAAGGGGATAAAGTGCCTTAGGTGGAAAGGTATTTAAAAATATTATCTGTCAAAATAATACTGCTTTGAGTGTTCTGACATAGACTGTCTTACAACAATAATCAAACAAATCACCCTAACGACAGAATTTCAGGATCCACTGATCAGAAATGCGTGGCACAAATCACTGGTTTTGATTTGGGGCGGTTCCTTAGCACTTTTTTTGTCTTCTGTGAACTCCCTGAGTTTCTAATGCTCTTAGACCACTAGAGTGAGACTGAAGAGCATTCAGTGTTTTGTTTTAGAAGATTGTTGTCTGTGGACTGTTTAAAAAGTCTTTTTCTTTTTTTAAAGAAACTATATAATACATATGCAAAAACACATGCATACACATACAATTAATTCCATAGGCATCAGAGATGCTGAAATTGCTGTTGTGCTAAAAATACTGTCTTTTTTTTGTTTGTTATTGTTTACATGTATGTGTAGAGGACATACTTGTCTTTGATAAGAGAATTTGGAGCCATAGAGGTACATTGTCTTTGTTCTTGCTTTTATCTTGAGAGCTGCACAAAGAATGTAAAATACAGTCTGCTAGCTCATCAGAGTCTGTCACTTAAACGTAATTATTGCATGTATTCCATGAATTGATGGGATCGTCTTTTCAGATGACCTGCATTTGTAAGTTTCAGAGCTTAAATCTGGCATTAAACAGGCATAACAAATCTTGAGGGGGAAAAAAAAAACTTTTGATTAGCTGTTGTCTCATAGCTGGTTGCAAAATAGTTGTAACCTATCTTATCGATTTTATTCTAAACTTTGATTTTGCATGTGTAGAAATTTAATTCTGTTAACTTTCAATTAAATTGCAATGGTTTTTTTTTTTTTTGAGGCTTTAACATAAATATTTTTAGACATGTAACATGTGAAATTACGTGTTAGATTTAGATATTTGAAATGTTAGAACACTTGTCTCTGGTTCAGCAGAGGTTAGGAAGTTGTGTTCCTAGCATGGATTAAACAGAAATTTTGTTTGTATGGCACGAGTTTGTTTAATAGTAAGTCTGCATTTTTTCCTCTGGCTTTTTTTTCCAAATATGGTTTAAAAACGATTGTTGAGTTCCTAGATCATAAAAAGATTTTCTTGTACTATCTAAAACTATTGCTAGAATTTGTTTTAAAACTCATTTGTTTAAAAAATGGAAAGCTTTTACATTTAGACATTAAATTTTCCTTTTGCTTACTTCTAATGACAGTGCTTAATAGTGCAAGTCATTGTCACTTAAGATGCTCTTTTCTGATTTTTCAACAAACACTCTTTAAATGTCCAACTCTGCCATAACTGACCTGCAAAATATGGGGTGAGGGGGAAGTGGTATTAAGATGAAATTACTTTTTTTTTTTTTTTTTTACAAATATTTCACATTAGATATCCATTCAAAATAAATGTATCGTGTTCCTCACCCTTTAAAATTTACTTATTTTTGTGATTTTCAAGTTTTTACTTTGTAAAGAGTGAAAAAAAACAGACACTGTGAGTGGGTCTTAAACCTCTGTGGTGGAAATAAAGCACATATGGATATTAAACTATAGTGTGAAGTACCTACCTACTTAGGCCAAACTGTTGTTGTATTTGAACTCCCATTCTGCTGAGAATTACTCACGTGCTTTGGATAGCTGTTTTTGCTGTAAAATGCACTAATAACAGTTTCAACAAGGTTAAAAATGGTTTGATTCATAGTGGCTGGTGTTCCTCTTGGTTTCCTTTCCAAGAAGAAAAGCTGGAAAGAAAAAAAGGAGAAAAGGGAGGAATCCAGACGTTTGTTAGTGTTGAACCTGTTGTAAAAGTTTGCTTTAAGCATCAATCAGGAGTAGCACGTTGCCTGTTTGTTAAAAGTTTTACTTAAAGGATGGATTTTTTTTCTTTAAAAAAGGAGGGAGCAGCAGTTAACATTTAAAGGATTATTTTGCCAAGTTGATCCATCTCAAATAAACCATCTTGATTGTTGGCCTTTAGGAAGGAATTCACAGCACTTAATGATGAACAGAATATCCTCATTTGGTTGTGAATTAAAAAACTGTAGCTCGGGGAATTGCTGCTAAAAATGAAACTTTTTTTTTTTTTTCCCAGAGGTTATTTTTATAGGCTCTCTAATTTGAATTGAACTTTAAACACCAGTATCTGTATCTGTCTTGTCTAGGGGGTCTTGTGGACCCTGTCTTAAGGTTATGTTTTCACTCCTTCTGTGCCGTTGATACCCTTCACGTGCCCACTTTTTTCTTACTGAGTTGAGGGACTTATGTAAGAAGCAGCAGATACATCTTAAAGCAGAGGGGAAAAAAAAATATCTATGCTGTGCTTGCATTAGCAGAATCAATGATAAACCACTTTTGTTAACTCCTTGAAGACATAATTTGGTTTATAGCAGCTGTTAGTGAGGGCACGGGGCAAAGAATCTAACTTGCCCTTGAGCTAGACTTTTACAGAGCTGTGAAATATCTGTGTTAAATGCAAGGATGTTTAGAGATCTCTGAAGCACTAAGGCTTGTGTGATTGTGCGGCTATGTAAAAAAAATTGTGGTCGAGTTGGTAATATCTGTTAAAATAGGTTTGCTTTTGTGTGGTAGATGGTGGTTTCTGAAGCATTCAAGCAAGACAGCATTAGCATTGACTGCCTTTCCTGAGCTTGCAGATTGGCTTCAGAATGGGCTGTTGTGCTCTGGGGAATTTAATGCTGTTTTCAAGGTAGTTTCAGATAGGGTGGCTGCCGTTCGCAGTGGCTTCTGTCCAATCTTTAGGTCTCAGTCTTCAGATTTTTCTGATACACTCGAAACAATGACTCGTTTGAGCAAAACAAAAAAGAAAAAAAAAGTTGAAAAATTTCAAACTCAATTCGTTTCATTTACTGAAAGCAAAATCGGGTTCCTTCACAGAGTACTTATACATTCAACTCTTCAAAAATCAGCGTCTTTTTTTATACATATCCATTTACAAGATCCGTGGAGAACTTCTCTACTGCAGTCACAAAGCTAGGCATTGAGTTTCTTATTTGCTGATTTCTGTTGTTGTTGATCTTCTTGTTTGATTGCTTGGGATATAGCATTTTTGCTCTTTTTATCCCTCTTATGGATTCTCCCTTCTTGTGTATTTGAAATTTCAAGTCATCTTTAAAAAAAGTATTTAAAAAAAAAGAAAAAACTTACATAAAGCTTGATAAAGTTTCTTCTAGTTAAAAGATCCAATAAACTTGTTTAATGTTGCCTTCTGAAATATTTAGAAGAATACTCTTCAAAAAAAAAAAAAGAAACAAAAGAAATAATTTCCCTTGTCCTAGCAATGAATTGCAGTATGCAAGGACAGTTTGAACAAAGCTGCTGTCATCTGAATGTTCCAGTTTATTCTAACTGTGTTTAAATCTGCTGAATGCCATTTGATGACAAAGAGGATTTATTTCCTGAGTAATATTTCCTTTTTGGCTGTTGGGAGTCTCCCTATGGATCTAGCTGTCCAGACATTTTACGTGTTTTGACTTTTGTAGTTGTTGTTGTTTTTTAGCTTGCAAATAGCAGGAACAAACGAGATGCATTGGGAAATACCCCCGATACCAGTTGTGTAGGAAAAATGAGTGTTGTGTTTGTGCTGTCGGTGTAGTCGGGCATCACCTCAAAGCATTAATCCCTGTGTGTTGAGTTTACTCGCTCACTGCTTGTTTCCAGGTGGCTCTGAGGCTAAAGATGATTATTATTTGGATTATTTGGGCTCTCGGGAAAGCCTGTTTTGCCTTTACAGGCTCCTGCAAAGCCACGGTGCTGGAGAGCAGCGTTTGTTAATGAGGGTGGTTTCCTGAAGACCATTATCTCTATAGGCTTAGGACTGATGACATGTGGATGCGGATGAGAGGCTTTCTGCTAATGAGGGTCTCATAATCCTGAACATTATTTTAGATGGGATGAAATGAAAGTGAGCTTGAAATGCAAAAACATTCCTTACGACATTAGAAAAGGCAGCTGTTCCTGTGAAGCGGTGAGACCAGCTGTAGTGAGCCAGATGGTGGCTGCAAATTTAACTTTCCGTGCTGGAGGAAATATGGCAAGTACTGATGAGTGAAATTAATCTTTGTCTTTTCTTGTATTAGCTAGCTGTACATCGATTTAACGCACGGGAGGTTGAACAACAGCCTGGCAGTGGTGGTAGGATGCTGCTGTTGTCTATCTTTGCTGAACAGAAAAGAGCATGAAGGGAGGAAAACCAGGTGTCAGCAGCAGAGGAGGGATGAGGGCATGGAGGAACAAGGTGCAAAATGCAGGGATTCAAACTTAAAGAAGTTTTCTTTTTTTTTTTTTCTTTTTTTTTTTTTTTTTTAATTAGTTTGTGAGCTGCATGTGCATACGGATTGTATCCTGTTTGCCTGTAGTGACTGCCGTCAGTGTCACCAGGATGGACACCAGGACCATGTAAGTACCAGCAGCTGTGTGGCAGAGCAGACTACATATTCCAGTGCAAAAACAAGGGCTAATAATAGGGAGGTAATAGGGAAGAGGTCTCGGCCTCTCTTTTTCTTGCAAAGTTCTCTCATTTCTTACTTGCAGGTGAAGGGCATGTGTAGCTTTACAAAACGTGTTGCAAACAGTGAAATGAACTTAAATTCCAATAAATACATCTATTTATGATGTTTATGGAAGGCTTATTGCAATGCCTGGGCTGTGTATGCCACACTGTAATTAGGGAAAAAAAATAATCCATCATCTTAACATCATAATATTGATAAAGTCCAGTCTGTTTGCTGCTTGAATTCCTCATTCGACAGTTGGGATAAAGATGGTCCAGCATCCTGCGTTCAGGATGATGGTCAACTGTGGTGTGTTTTCCCAGGATACTTACCACCATCACTGGAGGGAGGGAAATCTCTCTTCAAGCGCTCGTTGTGAAGTTTGCAAGAAAACCTGTGGCTCCTCCGAGGTGCTGTCTGGCATGAGATGTGAATGGTGTGGCATTCTGGTACGTATCCTTGGGCGTCTTTATGAGAGAACTGTATTAAATGTTATGAGGGTTTGCAGGCCATGACTAATTCTGGAGCTGGTGATATTTGTGTTAGATGGAAAGTCTGATCTTTTAAAAATTTTATTTTCTTTTAGTCATCGAAGTGGGGCATCACAGTCGAACTAAATTCTGTTGGACTTAGGATTTTCACCTTACAAGGGTGTTACTGCTGTAGCTGTGTGAAAGTCTTAAGTCACATTCATTATGTAAGGTCAGAGACATGCCATTTTAACAAACTTAATCCTTTTTCAGTGTAGAATACTCTTAAACTGTGAGCTTTCTTAGCAGTGACTGTTATTTTTTACATTTTTCCTTTTGCATGACTTTTGTCTTGATTCCTGTGGAACGCGATGGTATCCTTCAATAACCCTCAGGAAAACCACATTTTTTTAAAAATATTCTAATGTACAATCTGCAGTGTAGATAGAAAATGATCCATCCAGTGAACACTGCCTGCTTGTGAGGTATAACTGCAGTGCAAAGGAACAGCAGATGGGGTGGCAAGTTAAAAGTATGTTTGATAATAAAGTTATTAATCTGCCTCTTATACACACAGAATCACGCAATTAGAATGGCTGAGGTTGGAAGGGATCTCTAGAGATCATCTAGCCCTCATACAAGCACTCTGATCAAACAGAAGGAGATTCATTATGTTATAGTCATCTAGAACAAAAAGTTGAGGTTATTCAGAATTTTGGGGTATGATTTGAGTCATTTCAAAATAGCCTTAGTACTGTTTTTTTTTTCTTTTTTGATGTGATTCATAATTTCTGGGGTGGGAAAAGCTGATTTTGAGAACAGACTAACACATGCAGCAGCTGTATGGACACATCTATAGCGGTGTGTACAGCCAATGCTGACTGACGATAGAGCACAAAGTGGAAACTAGTCAGGCAGCCCTTGGAATAAACATCCTGAAACCTCTCTAAATTTGCGAGTGGTGCGTCTATGGAAGAAGATAATACTATTTTCAAGCTCTTAACTTGTCCACCTCTCTGTCCTCTGTCCTACCCCAGTTTTCCAGTAAATACTTATAGAGAAAGTAAGATTTGGGGCTTAGGACTCATAATTTTCATATTTTTTTGACAGCTGTATAAAAATCCTTAGTTTATAATAGAGCAAGTTTGTAATACCTGGAATTTCTTCATATTTGCTTTGTAAAAGCCTAATGGAACAAATTAAAATTTGATGTGAAAATGGCTCACTTCTTTCAATGAAACTGAAGTGATTTCTAGGTGACTATACCTTCCAAGCTGTTTTTTTTTTTTTCCAGTAACAGTGCATATTGCATTACAAACGTTTTAATTTTCTTGATATTTTGATAAGTACGTAACTAGTGTGCTTCTATTTATAGGCTCATGCTGCTTGCTATGTAATAGTCACACCGCAATGTACTTTTGGAAGATTAAGGAATATGATTCTTCCTCCAAACTGTGTGCGATTATATTCTCGCAACTTCAGCAAACTGCACTGCTTTCGTATATCAGAGAACTTGCAGGCAGAGCCAGGTAAAAGCTTTTGTAGCTGATTGCAGTTAATTGCTGAGTGTGTTTAACCTTGTATTTCACTGAAGAATGCTAATTTTGCATTGTCTTTTGAGGATGTACTTTCACCTTTTTGCTCATTCTGGTCAGTAGAGGATGTAGTTCCTAAGTGCAGACTGTGTGCAGAATTCTTCAACTTTATTGCTTACAGGGCAGATTTGAAAGCTCATCTTTTGGTGTGGGGATGTGTATGTGTGTATATATGTATATACTTGCTACCAAAACATATATGTATGTTTTAAATCAAGATATATATATACAGAGAAAAATATATATACTTATATAATTATGTGATTATGTGATATGTATCAAGATAAATACATATATACACATACATATATCTTGATTATATATTTTTATCAAAGGATATATATAATCTTGAACATATATTCATATATATAAAATACATAGATTTATATTTATATATATATAAAAATCAACACACACACATATATATGTATATATCTTGACTTTTTAGCTTGATTTTTCCCTTTGAACTGTAAAGTTTCCTTCAAAGAAACCTGGAGTTAAAACTTTTTAACAATTTACTAAGCTGGCAAGACTTAAGATGGAACTCTTATAATTAGGAATTTGAATAAAACCTCCTGCTATGCTACAGTTCATACTACTTTGACAAAAATTAAAAGGGTAATGATGAACACATTTTCAGTGCAGTTTTTTTAATCTGCTTTCTTTTTCTGTACATGCGTCTCTGAATCCTGAAATTGTTCAAAATAACTCAGAAATGATGCTTAGAGGAAAAACGAAAGCCTAATAAAAGCCCAGGAGTGACAGTGTAGTTGGCAGATTGTGTTGTTGTAAGCACTTGCTGATATACATGCTGCTTTTTGTTTGGGATATCCTGTATCTAAATACTTCCATTCCCTTCTTTGAGCATTTGCCCTTTCAGGATTTCTGTGCTGAGGGAAATCATTCATTTATCAACGTGACATTGTACTGCCACCTAGAGTACATGTTGGCCCAGCAAGTCTTTTGGTACAAGAAAATCTTTTAAAGAAATTGAAATAATTTCTCATTTATATTTTGACTATCATGGGCCTTGTAAAGCTTTTCTTTGTGCTTAAAGTTTTAGGAAAATCTGGATAAGGCTTGGAAATGTTGTCCATTTTTTTTTTTTTCTCCCAGCACCACAGGTTCTTCCAAGGTTTCTACTTTGATGTTGAGCTGCTAGTAGAGTTTTTTGTGCCTATGAAGGCAATTTGTGGGTAGCAGGAGCTGTGTGTCTGTGTGGGCACAGCATTGCTGTTGTGGAAACTGTATAACCACAAGTCTGCATATTGCAGATAGACCCAAGGGCCTAGAAAAGCATGTGAGGGGGAGGAGGTCTTGTTTTGTTTGCTTTTTGGTTGGTCTAATTTTGTCATGTTTTTGGTCTCTTTTTTTAAACTTCTTTGGCAGGGGCTAGAGGTAGCAGGGGCTAGAGAAGTACAACAAATGCTTGAAAGTCAATGTGTTTTTGGCATTTCTGAGATGAGAAATACCAGAAATATACAATCTGGGTGAATCCATTACATATTAGAAGTTTCCCCAAATAGTTTTTAGTTTTTCTTTATTTTTATTATTTTTATTATTATTATTATTTTTTTATTATTTATTTTCAACATAAGTTGAGTGCAATTTTAAGTCTCATTCTAGTGTGTCTCTTCTGATGTTATCTAGGTTTTTCTTCTAAACAGAGAGCTTTTCTCATTTGTTAGTCTTACGATTGGTGGTGGTGGTGATGTTTCTGTGGGTTTTTTTTTTTTTTGTCGGTTTTATTTTGAATCACCTCTAAATAAAACTTTAATACTATTCGCAGTTAGACTCCTAGCTTACAGCTGCACTTTCTGGTCTTATGGCTCATTATTTTAAGAGGTAGAAGATGATGTTTTTCCCTGCAGGACTTTGGCTACGTGGAGCTGTACCAGTCTCTTCCAGGTTATTTCAGGTTATTTGAAGTAATAATGCTTTTTGCCTTCCTGTTTTTAGAATGTGTCTTGTACTCTGAAATTAGAGAAGGACGAGCAAATTGTCCATTGACATGGCTCCATGGCTAGGAGTGGGCATGAAGGGAAAGGGAAGTATTCAGTAACTTAATTTGGAGTCTTTCTCACACCTTAATGCACTGTTAGCTGCATCCCTTTGGACTGGGGGGCTGCCTCTGGCACTTGCCTTCTGGCACTTGGTGGGTGTTTGAGGTTTGTTTTTTTGAGTAACCAGTGCCCACCCCGCAGCCTGTTGCTTGTATGGGGATTTTCTCTGTTTTTTTCTCTTCCCAGGGAATACAGGTACAAAGCAGGAGGTTCAGTGGGCAGAAGGCTAAGGTTTATAAGCACCGTTTTTAACATGATCATCTTTGGTTGTGTTGGCTTACACATACAAGGGTTTTGAGTATGCTCTCACTGTGGCTATATGGCTACGCAGGTTTTTGTTTTATGGTCTTTTTGAAGGAGGGATTTTTGTCCTAAAATAACTAGAAAAGTGTGGCTGTCTGGTGTGATAGCATTCTTGTTTTGTTAAACTGCCATAAACACATTAAATGACTAATTTTCTTTCTCTTGCCTCGTTCAAATTAAAAATAACTCTTATAATGTTCATTTTTCGCAGATGAAGATGATGATTTTGATGGGTCAACACCGGGGTCAACAAAAGATGTCCAAACTTCTACAGATTCAAGTAAGCAAATTTTTTTTTGTATGTATCCATCCATTCTAGTCTTTATTCATAAAATTTTAATTTGTTTTTCTTTACGAAATAGGACATGAATATTCTTGTAATGATAGGTTTCAGTTTGGGATCCTGAGCCTGGGTCCACCGCATATCAAGGTCTTATCAGCTGTCTCATCTCTATTTCCTATTGGTAGATTATTTGGCATTAAGTGTCAATCTGTTCATTAGCCTGTCAAACACATCACAAAAGAAGGCTTTCCCCAAACCTTCTTTCCACAGGTCAGTACCACAGCGCTAAATTGTTTCTGAAAAAAGCATGCTTCATAAATCACACTGAGATATTTCTCTCAGCAAAATAACTGAAGAAAGAGATCACGGTATTAACGATGGAAAGAAAATAGGCAGCATGTCTTTTCTAAGTCTTTTGCCTTTAAGATATGTGGGTCCAAATCTTATTGAAGACACCATGTGCATTTTTAGCTTTGCTCAGGCATGGTCCAGTGCATCAGGACTGAGGTCAGTCAGCTGCTCCTCATGCAGTTCTCGTGCCCATAGTAGCTGTATTTTTCTGAAGAATGAAGCCAATCTGCAGTCTGAGGGCAAAAAAAACCCCTTTTGGACTATATATTTATTAGAAGCTAGAAAAATAGGGTATTTTCTGCATAATGTAGTTACATAAATGATTCGCAAAACAGTAATTGTAAAACAGTGAATGTGACCTACTTGCTTATTTCCCTTTAGTGTAGAGTCCTTGCAAAATCAATATTCTATTAATTGAAATGGAGTATTGAAAATGCTCTTATGAATATTCTGGTTAAAAAAAAAAAAAGAAAAAATGCTGTGTGTTGTAAGTTGTATTGAGTATAAATTACGATGGACCACCATGCTTCTTTATTACAGGAAAGAAACTCTAAGTAACTGTTTTTCTAAGAAACTTCTACTTTTTTTAGTGGCCTTTTATGTGACATAAGTAGTTGAATGTCAGGGCTGTTGTCCTTATCAACCGGGGCTAATTCCTTTATTTATGACCTTCAGAAGGCAGAATATCTGGATCTTGATATCTAGATAATTTAATTGACATGGTAGAAAGTGCTTGTACAGAACAGTTCAGCCTTAGGCATCCTTTCCAAGGGAAGAAGGAAAAAGATGCTAAAACTTACAACTGCAAATAAACTGGAATTTACTTTTTGTTCCCGTATGCTGTCCCTCATCAAACTGGAAAAGCAGACCCCTTGGTTGCTTGCCCACATGCCCTGCAAGCCCAGCTTAGTGTTTGCTGGTGGTTACACACCAACACAAACACCCGTTTGCTGGCAAACAGTAGAATAATACAAACTCGGTAGAGTAATACTAGGAAAAAAAGTTTAACTTAGCAGCTTCCAGTGTCTTTTTTTTTTCTTCTTCTTGCTCTTTAATATTATTATTGCATGAGATGGAAAGATAGTTTCAATCCTTTAGGCTTGGGAACTTAAATATATTATGTTAGTCAACCTTGAAAATTGGCCTAACAAGATTATGAAGTCAAAAGTATGAAATGACCTTAAAAACAACCCTACACTTGATTGATTTAACAGATGTACAGATCTCTCTTAAAAAAAAAAAAAAAAATCCACTATGACTGAGTTTGGAAAAGGATTATGAATCCTCATCCCTGGGAACCAAAGCCAGCTCCTAAGGGTTTGTCTATGCAGGCAATAACTAACTTCAGGAGAACGGAACATTATGGGAACTCTAGGATAAACGCTGTGCCAGATGCCCTTACTACAGTGTGGTTATTTGTCTTGCTTGGGGAGAGAAGCACCCAAAGCCACTTCCATACTAAAATAATTGTTTCTACATCTTACTGAGAAGTTGTAAATGGTAAAACTGTTCTGTTATTGACAGACATCAGGTCGGTTTAGGTGGCAGGGGATAAGGAGCTTAAAAAAGCTCTATTGGGTCTGATTTCTGGTGCTCTTTCAAAGGTTCCAGTCATTCCTGAGGTAGGATGTTGAATAGGTTTCAGACAACACTACTTTTTTTTTTTTCTTGGAAACAAAATTTTCAGCTGAAATACAACTGTAGAAGTGTTCTCCCAAGCTCAAAATGTCAAAGGCAAACTATTAAAAATTATTGCTATTATTTCATTGTAAGATGAAGATTTACTGGGCAAAAAGAAGATGGCTCGTTGAGAACATTCAACAAGTTAATCCCAGGTGACCTATCTCAATAGCTCTTGAACCACAAAACGAGTCATTAAGAGGTGTTACCTGTGTGTCACTGAAAGGATCCTGAAAAGACATAAGATTCCATCTCTGCTTGCTATGAATCAGTAAAAGCTGAGGGCATTTAGCTATTGGTATGTTCATGTCTGAATTCAGGCCTTTTTGTTTGTTTTTGAGGCTTGTCCATCATTGGTAGCAGTTCAGAGTTGCTGTTCCTCTGCATCTTCAACTACTTTTTCTCACAAAAGCTTAATATTTTTAGGTACTTAGTCTTCAAAAGATACTCATTTGCAAGTTACATTACTAAAATGAGTCATACTGAAAGCTGTTTTTTCCCTAAGACAGTTTGTGCCCTGCCTTTTGAAGATATTTTGAAAAATAATATTGTACAGGATGTATACATATATGTATACAGCTTGTATATTTCCTTTAGTTGGGTAACTTGTGACTAGTTTATCCCGTGACTAAAAATAAAAATACTGCTTTGAAAGATCACATAAAACTTATTTTTTCCACTTTTTCCCTGTTGTGCACATCATCCTTTTTCCTCCTCCTCCCAATCGCCTTTGTCTGCCTTTTCTGAAACTTGACATAGTCCACTATTACTTTCACTTCTCATTGCCTTCTACTGTTTTTTCCTCCCAGGCTTTCATGTCCAAGCAATTCTCCCCAAGAGCAACACCTACTTGCTAGTGTTGCTGCCCATTTCATTTGGTTCCTTTGCAATCTGCCTGTCCCTCTTGTTCACCAAATCTTTTTTGTCCCGCTCATCCTTGATATCTCACACCAACTGCTAGTCCAAGCATTTCTTACTTAAAATGCCTATTTTGGAGAAGTTGAACAGTAACTTTTTTTTTTTAAATTCCTTCCGAGGATATGAGAGGTCTTCTAGCAAGTATCTTTAAATAGAAAAAGAAAATGGAAAAATCTTCCAGTAGTTCTGTAACATCATTGTCAGAAAGCAATGGAGATATGTAAGCAAATATTACTAAAGATTTATTCCCATGCCTCAAGTGTCCTTATAATGAGGTTTATGAGACTTAAAATCCCATAGTTAACTTTTTAGAGTGCTTCAAACTGACACAGAACCACAGCTTTGTGCTGGTTGGAAAAGGCCTTCAGGATGCTGGAGCGCAGCCGTTCATCCATGACCCCCGTGCCTGCAGATCCCGGTGCCCAGGCGCCCCATCCACCCGCCCCGTGGGCACTGCCGGGACGGAGCCTCCAGCCCTTCCCGGGCAGCCTCTCCCGGGCTCCGCGGCCCTTCCCGTGTGGAGGCTCCTGCCGCTGTCCCTCCGGAGGCGGACACAGACTGCGCCGGGCTCTGCCGGAGCCTCCCGCTCCTGCTGCCCTCCCGGCGCTGTCCCCGCAGCCGCCCCGTGGATCCGAATTCCACCCCGCCGCCTTCGCCTCCCCGGGCCCTCGCTGCCCTGGTCCTGCTGCTCCAGTCCCGCTGCTCCAGAGCTTCCAGGACTGCGTCCCACCCTTCTGCAGACGGGCGCCACAGTGGCCAGTCTCCAGGTGTCTGGGACCTCCCCCGTTGACGGGGACCATCTGGTGGAGAGCAGCTTGTTGGGCACCTCTGGCAGCTCCTTCAGAACCCGCCTGTGGTCCCGTCTGCCCCCATAGACGTGTGGGTGTCCAAGTGGAGTAGCTAGTCCCTGACTGTATCCTCCTGCATTACGCAGGGTTTATTCTGCTCTCAGTAGGTGTCCTCCAGAAACGAACGTGTGGTTTTTGCTTTTGTGCTTGTTTCTGAGGCTGGGCTGTCACTGCTAAAGATCTTGCTAGTCTTGATGCTTGGGTGCAGGTTCTCCCTGGCTGCCCACTGGCAATGCCTACAGAAACATTGCAGTAGGTCCCTTCTTGGCTTGACAGACCTTCTGACTATGGGTTGTTGTTGCACGGAGATGCCGTGCAGTTGGCAGAAAACTCAAGCCTTTGGCCCAGGAGCATCTCTGCTGCATGGTTGTCTCTGGCACCTGCCCAAGAACCTCTGCCTCCCCATGTAGCAGTCTAACACAGGAGAGGGGAAGTGAATCCTCCTCATCCGCCTCATCCTCCTATAGAAGGCACCTGTCATAAGAAAGCCACTTCTGAGGGAGGTTTCCAAGGATTTTTCACAGCCAGTGCTTGTAGAACCAATCTTCTGCTGTGCTCCAGCCCATGTAGCTGTTTACCAGCCCCGTGGGTTTGGGGAAAAAACCTTTTCTGCATCTTCTCACTTGGTTCTGGGTGACCTGTGCAGAATACTTCCGGGATCAGGTAACAAGGTTAGGAAAACATCTTGGCTTCTCTTTGCTGGTCCTTGATCACAGTTACTTTTTTTCCCCCCCTCCAGACAAAATCATTAAATACAGGTTTCTATTTTGTTCAAATGGGAAGAACTGTTAGGTCTACATCATTTTATCACAAGGCATAAATAAGATTTTTTTTTCATAAGTCATGTCCTGCCTATGGGTTTTTTAAGTCAAATGCCATGTGCTTTGGAATCACCAAATGCTTTTTACCTTTTTGTAGTTGCACTCGCCTTGAAAATCATAAGCATGAAAAGCATTTTTTCTTTAACTTGGGCTTCCTTGAAAGAAGAAAAGTAATTTACTTCTCAGGAGAAAGCCTTATACGGTGTAGTCTGAGGTGACAGGAAAAGTCTAAGACAGGAGATAACCTGCAGTAAAATATCAGTATTACAAAACAAGCAGTGACCCTTTTATGAAAATCTGGTATGTGCATCTGTTCCATTTTAATAAATGTTTTTTATACTAAATGCGTAGACTTCCCTTCTATAATTAGCTCATTCTC